TATACATACATATATTAATGAAACAAAATAACTAAAAAGAAAACAAAAAACTAGAATAACAAAGTAGTAAATTAAAAAGGGATCCCTAATAATTATGGAAAAAAATGTGCATTATGAAGTAGTAGTAGTACTCGTCGTATCGGTGGGGAACCGTCAGCACTCCAATGATTAAGAATGTAAGAACGAGAAAGGGTGGCAAGCCTGTACCTTGATCCTTGATCCACAGCTTTGAAGCAGGAACTTTGAGATGGTGAATGATCAATTCTCATACCTACCTATGTATGTGTTCAAAAATATATTTTACTAATACTAATTTTTTTTCTATAATAATTCCTTTAATCCTTTTTCAATTTACTGCTGTTATTTTATTTTTTTTTCTTTTTCATTATTTTGTTTCATTAATATATGTATATAAATTTTCCAGTTTTCATATTTTTCCCTAAATACGGAGCTCAATCCGGCAACATCGCAAGCAAGCGTCTCTCATATGACATTATTATTATTATTATTATTATTATTATTATTATGATAATTGAGATGAGCAGAGTACACAGTACTATAAGCTCATGCAGTAAATATAGTGTACGGACACGTAACACGAATACATCAAATAGAAAAAAATAAAAAAGGCAGTTCATAGCTATAAAGTTTGTACACTCCTCCAGCTATCATACTGCACTTTGAAGCTACTAACTGAAGTAGCACCAACCACACTTTCAGATAAACTATTCCAGGTGTTGAATATGCGGTTGGGAAGAAACCACTGTCGGACTGTTGTTTTAAATGGCTCCTTATGCAGTTTGAAGCTGTGTCCGCGTAGATTGCTGCGCGACAGACGGTATAGATGCATGAGATTGGTGCCCATCAAACCATGAAGTATCCTGAACGTAACTATAAGATCGCCACGAAGTCTTCGCTCAGAGAATGAGGTCAGGTTGAATAATCCAAGGCGATCTTCATAGCTTGGTCTTCGTGCTCCAAAAGGGATCCGAGTAGCCCGACGCTGTACTGATTCGGCGAGATTTCTATCGCGCAGAAGCACAGTGTCCCATACCGGGCCAGCGAATTCAAGAATTGGCCTCACGAATGCCATGTAAATGTAGGCGCAAGTGTTGACATCGGATCCTTTGAAAGACCTCTCCAGCATGTATAGAAGTTTCTTGGCTTTTGACATATGCATGCACAGACATCATATGGCAGATGATGGCGGTGAAAATAATAGTGGAATAAGCTGATACAGATACTTTAATGGCGAATGATCAAGGTTTGTCTAGCGCTCTTGTTCTTTTGGATTTTTCCAAGGCTTTTCACAGCATCAGTCATGAATTGTTGTGCTCAAAGCTCAAATACTATGGTCTTACTGACCCCTCACTGTTTTTAATATGGAGCTACTTACTTAGACGCTCCCAGAAAATTCATATTGATGGTTCCTATTCAGCAAGCACAGATATCCTGTTAGGGAGGATCCATACTTGGGCCTCTGTTAAACATAATATACACAACGGAAATCCTAAGAAAGATACAAAACGTCAAGCTACAATCGTACGGTGACGATATTCAAGTTTACTTTAGCTTTTCCATGAAAGACAGTGCTGCAGCAGAACGAACTCTGAACGAAGAGCTTCAATCGATAAACAGATTATGAGAGCAGCACAACCTAAAGCTCAGTTCTAAGAAGACAAAAGTAATACTTTTTGGTAATAAAAATAGTATACACTATGTGATTCTTCTCGTAATTTAGGCTTAACTGTTGATCCAAGCCTCCGTTTCTCACTCCATATTCAAAAGCTTGTAAATAAAGCATTTAGTTCCCTCAAAATCATTTATAGCAGTCGACATTTCCTAAGTAAAGAACTAAAAAAAATGTGAAACCTTGGTTATTTCAACTATTGTAGCTTTACTTATGGGCCGTGCTCGACTAGTGCTGACATAACGAAAATACAACGGGTTCAAAATAGCTGATGTAGGCTGGTATATGGAATTAGGAAGTATGACCCCATATCACACAAAATCAGACAGTGGAATGGCTTAACATGAAAAATAGGAGACTCCTTCACCTGTGTAATTTTACGCATAAACTGGTCAACACTCCAAACCCTGCAGGTCTTATCAAACATTTCATACCTCGCAAAGATACTCATCATCAAAATATAAGATCAATTGAACTACACCGTTCCGCAGCATAAGATCGCCATGTTTCAAAGATCGTTCATATATAATGCTATCAGGATGTATAATCAGCTACCACAAGAATTCAAGCTTCTTAATATGAACAAGTTCAAATTCAAACTAAAACGTTATTTGTTTGATATGCAGTAGAATCAATGATGCAATGTTGTATATTCAACTTTTTATTTATTTGTTATTGTGTAACACATATATGTGTGTATATGCATATATGCATGTAACTATATATATATACATTATATATATATACATATATGTATATATAAAAGCAATATTGATACCAAACGTGTGGCTAGATCTGTTTAACATATAATGTGTTGTTGTTCCTTTCTTCCTAAGGCCTGGATAGTGTTTAAAAGATAAAGGCATAATCTGTACATGTATGTTTTACTGCGAATGCCTGTGTTGCTCTGAGTTATTCATCATATGTATACTTTTTCTGTCGACCTCATTGATTTTGCCGTCCCCCTCTCCACGTGTAGCGGAAGTAAGATGTTAGACACTGCATTCCGATTGTTTCCCTAAAATGTCTTCTCATGTTTAATATTTTTTAATATGTTCAGGTGTATTGATATTTTTAACATGTAACGAAGGTATCTGTCATTACCAACAAGCCCAATGTCCCGGTCCTTTGGTTTTTATACTTATTACAAGTTCTATCTTCTCTACGTTCGTTTTGAAACACCTTGTGACTGCAACCTCAACGACGAAATCCTGATGAATGCTCACTAGAGAATGCCGAAAGCTTGATTTTATCGTCAAAAGAGTCAACTTAAGCCTATATATATATATACAGGGTGACTTTGAAGTTGAGTCATTAATTTTCAGATAATGATTGTAGAAGGAAGATAAACCAAAATATGTGTGTAAAAATAAAAAAAAAATTAAAAAAAAAATGTTACCTTGTTTAATAAAGTATCCTCCCGACAAGTATTTCAGTGCGGACCTGTATTTGATCGTGCGGTCTTGGAGCAGCATGCCCTCACCTGTGAGGTCTTAAGTCACCTGATTCACGAGCCCTTTGCACTACATTAACAAAGGCACGAGGGGTTGGTTGCACTCGATTGGGAAACCGATTCGCATAAATCCGTGATGCATCCGGGAGCATTTTGTAAAGACTGCCCCCCCGTAAATAAGAATCATGTCCACAAGTTCAGCATTTTCGTAAACATGTGCCATTTTTGATTTCGTTTGAGCCACGCAACACACTACTATTCACTCAGGATTTATCGACTGACGAAAAACATCGTGATAAACGTTTCAAATTCTTTCGCTTTTTTGTTTCCGATGCGATGAACCGGTCAGGCGGATTATATCCGTTGTCGCCAAACACGAGCATATAATAGGCAGGGCGGTACTCAAACTTCCAAAGGGCTATAACTTTGTTACTTTAATTTTACCAGAAAAATGGTAAAGGAAAAAAACATTTCTTTTGATCAGATCTACTCACTGTTAAAATAAATGACTCAACTTCGAAGTCACCCTGTATACTATAAAGAGTAAATTATCATGCGGAGAAAGGTATATAACAAAAATAGGAAAATAATGGGCAAAATCCGCAAAAAGTGGATTTGAGCAGAATAGGATAGGTAACCCGAGCGATACGTATTTCTGCTGGTTGGCTTCATCAGGCCCGAAATGAATGCACATATGCAACTACAAAAGTAGAGACACATGCCCATACATCCGGATACGGGTGTAACCTGAGGAAACAAAGATGGAGAGGAAAAAAAAAAGACACACGAAGTCCACAACAAGAGCCAACCTACACATTGTAGTATCAAATGGCTAGAAGACCTAGAATTTTCAAGGCGACAAATAACCACAACCAGCAGAAATACGTATCGCTCGGGTTACGTATCCTATTCTGCTCAAATCCACTTTTTGCGGATTTTGCCCATAATTTTCCTATTTTTGTTATATACCTTTCTCCGCATGATAATTTACTCTTTGTAGATCCTTTGGGCTTGAAGTACCACAGCAAGTGGCTATAACCGGCCGCTTGGTTGTGGTTATTTGTCGCCTTGAAAATTCTAGGTCTTCTAGCCATTTGATACTACGATGTGTAGGTTGGCTCTTGTTGTGGACTTCGTGTGTCTTTTTTTTTTTTCCTCTCCATCTTTGTTTCCTCAGGTTACACCCGTATCGGATGTATGGGCATGTGTCTCTACTTTTGTAGTTGCATATGTGCATTCATTTCGGGCCTGATGAAGCCAACCAGCAGAAATACGTATCGCTCGGGTTACCTATCGTATTCTGCTCAAATCCACTTTTTGCGGATTTTGCCCATTATTTTCCTATTTTTGTTATATACTATATATAGACTGAATTTTCCTTGAAAATAAAAGACGGTTTATATATAAAAGTGGCAATGTCAAAGTACTTTTCATTTTGAAATCGCATCCCAAATCAAGCCAGGAGAAAATGAAAACGACTTTGCAAACATTCCGTTTCTCCGGAAATACTCAAAATTGCGGAATTGTTTAGGTGACATTTGCTTAGTTACCTTCGTATCCCTTACCGTTATCTAACTTAAAATTTGTGGTTTAGAGAAGATTGTTTGTTTTACTCTATCTTGGATTTGGACATATTGCAGGTCCAACAGAGGGTGTAAGTAAAGTATACACGACTTTCAACTCCACCTTGAGCGCCATCTGAAGAAATTAACTGCACTAAATTATCATTTATGATCACTGAGATATTTCTTGCCACTTTCGTCAGATGGCGTTGCCACCTGTGCTATTGGAAAGTAAATAAGAAAGTTTAATTTGTAGTGTGCCAATAATTGGCTAAACTGGTTTTGAGCTCCTTACCTCTCACAGCTTGTCCTACTTTCAGCCAGATACCGGAACCCATGCATAGTGGTAGTAGCGCAGTACTCCGTGACGTAAGCCTTTAAGCCCCTCATTTCTTTTCTTACAAACATGGACCTCCTACCACTTCTAGCATGTATAGTACGTGCAGCATGACGTCTTGAAATTGCTGCTTCACTGGGAGTTTCAGGCTGTATGAAGTCACCTTCGTAAGGATTTCCTATGTCATCGTCATCATCGCCATCATCATCTAAGGACCTTTTGCGAGAGTTTCTGTCCATCGATGCTAACAGGAATTCAGTTGAAGCTGTTTTGAATTCCATAAATAGGCATGTTTAGAACTTCTTGTTTTTTGGGATTTTCTCATGAGGACGCCGTTCTGTTTGAGCTTTGATGATAGTTATGAAGTTAAGCATAACGTATTTTGGGTTCAACTTAGTTGATAAGTGACACAATGACATCTGGTTTGGGTTATCTCACGAATTTCGTCTCTGACGTTAGTATGTGATATACCGAGTGATTCAAACCAAGCTTTCAGCATTGAGATTTCGGAAACAATAAGAGATAGGAAGTCAGCTAAATGGAGACAAATTTTTACATTTGGGTACCCAACTCAGAAAAAGGCACTCAGAAAGTTACGCAATTCCGAGTATTTTCGGAGATAAAGGGGAAAGGGTGGGAGAAATCGAATCTTCAGAATAATATTTAGGTTTGCCCGACTTTATTGCCATATTTTCTTTTCTGCAAGATGGCATAAGAAGTTGCATGTCCTCAATCGCCATTATTTTTTCTTATAGACTTTATATTGGATTCTCACACACGTGCATAGCGTTTATGATGCCGATTTCAAAAATGGATATCACGCTGTAACGCCTTCGTACAGCTAGGTCCTTGAGCGGAGAGGAGCCGCCTTGCATAGTCGAGACTTAAGCAACAAGTTACACGACCGCGTGTGACCGCTTGTGGTGCTGTCTAAAGAGGGTTAGATGAATATTCAAGAACAATCGAGAACCGCCTGGAGACACTTGCTGCCATCTAGGCTTCTTGAACGGAACCTGACGGCTCTGCCTGTAAACCGCTTCTTGGCGTATCGATAGGTGGATATATACCCGACCAGATGGCGGAAGCAGTTAGTCACAGTCGAGACCGTCAGCGACGCGGAATAAAATTTGTTATAAATTAGTTGCAAGAGTTATAAATTAGTGTAGCAGTGAAAAATTGGACTTTAAACACTCAAGCGGTGTTTTCGTTACAATGCATTGACATTTGCCAAACCTCAGATACTTAAAAAAAACTTAATTATACAAAAGTAATTTGTTTCATATCATCAGCCAAGCATTCTTCCAGTTTTTATAAACGAAACATAGTTGAAAAGACCCTATTTCGGATTGTAATTATGTAATTTTATGTGACAAATTGGTATTATAAAAATTCAAATATGTATCTAAGGACGTAGTCCTCCTGTAGTTCGTCATCGAATAAACAACAACCTAACCTTTTCATTTTTCAAAATGGACTATGAAATTATTAGTATTGGGCCTTACGATATTAATGTATGACATATTCCATGTTCCTTGCATCGACTTGAAAAATTTCATTAATCTGTGCAAAAATCCAGTATGGAGTCTATAATAAAAAGTAAAGTTGATAATTGAGGGCAAGAGACGCGACGTCATAATGAAATTCTAATTATGCCACCTGGTAGAAGAGATAAAGCGTCAACGCTAATATTGAAATCCTAACTCAAATATGGAGAGCCAAAAATAGAAACAATTTAGGGAAAATCCCTCCGTTTGTCTCCGGAAATACACAGCATTGCGAAACTTTCTATGTTCCATTTTCTTAGTAACTTCTTCTTCTATTACCGATAACCCAGGTGAGAGTCCAATTTGAAACACCAGGTCAAGGGTATCCCAGAGCAAGTTAACAACAGCTCTAGTGGGGCACCTTCTACAATTTTCATTTTCACATTAAAAATCAATATTTTGCCTCCAGATAGTATATTCTGGGTGTCTTCGCTTTTGCTTCCCACGAACACTGAGGGAGCTATTCGGAAGCTTGTGACTAAATTTCGAACCCAGTTTACATTATTGGACATTAAACCACCAACACGCAGACGTGGAGTGAGGACTGAAGAAAATATTGCAGCTGTATCCGCCAGTGTTAGTGGGCCTCTGTTACTCCACTACGTGGGACAGGATTTGGGTGTAAAACCTTATAAGATACAGCTGGTGCAAGAATTGAAGCCACACGACCTCCCACAACGTTTCCAATTTGGTGAATGGGCGCTGGCAAAGTTGGAGGAAGATCCACATTTTTATCGAAAAATTGTGTTTAGCGACGAAGCTCATTTCTGGTTGAATGGGTACGTTAACAAGCAAAATTGCCACATCTGAAGTGAAGACCAGCCAGAAGCATTGCAAGAGCTACCAATGCATGCCGCAAAAATCACTGTTTGGTGTGGATTATGGGCCGGTGGCATCATCGGGCCGTACTTCTTCAAAGACGACAATGGCGAGCGCTACCGTGCGATGATAACAAACTTTTTTTTGCCCAAAATGGAAGAGCTGGACTTGGCTGACATGTGGTTTCAACAAGACGGTGCCACATGCCACACCGCACATGAAACAATGGCCCTATTGAGAGGCGAGTTCGGAGAACAGTTTATCTCACGTTTGGGGCCCGTCAATTGGCCGCCTAGATCGTGTGATTTAACGCCGTTGGACTATTTCTTGTGGGGCCATGTTAAGGCTAATGTCCACAGGGAAGCCAATATTGAAGCATTTATTCGTGAGATACCGGCCGATATGTTGGAGAGAGTGTGCCAAAGTTGGACCTTGCGCATGGGCCATCTAAAGCTGAGCCGCGGCCAACATTTACATGAAATAATTTTTAAACATTAAATTATATCGACCGTTCTATCGACTCAAATAAAGATTTAATCGTTTTTTCAAATTTTTTGTGTTTTTTTTAAATCACCCGTTATTAATCAAAGTTACCTCTCAAATGTCCAGGTAAAAGCTAAATGCTGAGATACATGTTCTGTCGAACGCGGAAAAAAGATTTGCTCTTATTCAGCTCAAATGTGAAATATCTATAACTGACAAACTCGCGGCTTAAGCCTGATAGACATGTGCATCTGCATAATTTTTGAGACAAACAAATCGTATACCTGTAAGTTAGTGTACCCCCACCTAGTCCAAATTCGTTGATCTGTGGCATGTGTGGTGATGCTGGCACCTTTGACAATTCAGAAAGTACAAGACGTATTTGGATAAAATTTTGTAACAGTTTACAACTATGGCCTCGCTGTTTTTGAGAATTTAGAAAGTATCGTTGAGAAGTAGAAAAAAAATCGAGATAATACTGCACAAAGACTGTGCTCATAATGCCAAAAAGCACAGAACAGTTGGCCATGGCTGGCCATCTACCGTCAGACTGACGGAAGTAGTAGACTAGAAAAAAACTCAATTATCGATTTTCAATATTTCCGAAGTTCATGATTACTTTCTGAACATTTTCGTAATTGGATTTGATGGGCTCAATAAAATATCTCTCATCCTAGTGTTACATAACGTTTACTGTGCTCAAATAAGGTATGAGTATATTAGGAATTTTGTTCATGCTGGTACATAATAGAAAATTAATTGCGCATGGGATGCTTAATTTTTAGGCCCTGTCCAAATATTGTACAATCTAAAGTTGCAACAAATGCGAACAGATAGAAAATAAATTATTTCTGCCAAAGATAAGAATGAAAATCCAGTAAATAGTCCGAGAAGGCCTCCAAAATTCGCCAAAAAATCAGTTGGGCCATATAATTCGTTTCGCTCCGATGTCAGGAAGGATTCCTGCTTGAAGAATATTGTTAACCTGGCATACAAATACCTGAAATGTTTGGTAAAATTATTCCAAAAGAACTTTTGCACAAAATTCACAACAGCGAATAATACATATTAAAAAGATATGATGGTAACCCTTTATTTTTAAAACATTTTTACATCTTAAAGGTACGTCACCATTACAACTTTGCGCAGCAACATATGTCGGAAATTTGTCTTGGAATGGGGTGACTACAGAATTGCAACATGTGCTGCAACTTGTGCCGTGGAAAACTTGTAAATGCTCTGTGCACACTCAGCGCAAACGTGTCTGAGGAAATAAGACGGCAAAAAGCACCATCTATTTCTAGAATTCGCTACTGCAAGAGTCAAAACAACAAGCTGTCACTGTGTGGCCGCTAGATACCGCCCATTCTGGTGACAAGACCTACATGAAGTCGGAACATAGGTATGCCATCAACTGCCTACATTGAGAACGTACCTTTAGTAAGGAATAATAACAATTGGCTATACTAATTCACCATGTTAATAGCAGTCAATAGCCGAGGTTCGTAGCGGAGCAGGCACGCGAAGAAGAAGTTATTACTTACGATTCGTTAACTGGTTTTCTACGGCGAGCCAGATGCAGTTCTTTATAGTTCCAGATAGATTGAGAGTGCTCCACCATATAAGTTATGTCTACACAGGATGGCTTGCAGTCACAGAAATACGTGTCACTTTTCTGGTTTGCAGTATATTTTAGTTGCCAAACTTTCAACAAAACTAAAACATGTTATAAGAAATTTTAGTGTTGATAAAAATCTGGTATACAATAATTAAGGGATTGAGGTAGAATACATTAATAATGATAATAATAATATTTATTCACTCAATGTACAAAGATAACAAACAATATGAGTAAATAAATATAAAATCAAAACAGGCCCAATAGAAGGCATCGCCTGTACATGGACCAATAAATTTAAGTTGAAAGTGTAGAATGCAAATGACAAAAAAGGACAAAAATTAGCTACAGTAGATTATGTATTTAGTTGATGTTCGTATTTATGAGTTTATGAATTTCAGTCCTAGATATAGAATGTAGCCACTATTTTAAATTTCTTTTGAAACAATTTCCGAAACGTAAATCTTTTAAGTCTTTAGGTATAATTTCATAAAATTTAGGCTCTAAATAGAGATATGGTCGCTGCATTATAGATTTATGCGGTTGAGGAACTACTGTGCCACGAATTTTGTACCTGGTATAATGATTATGTTTAATTTTTTGGTCGGTGTTTACAAATTTATGGTAGTGAGTGAAAGCTGTCTTATACAATACATTCGAACATCTGCGTATAATTTTTCAGTGGGATAAAGTTTCGGTTTTTTAAATATCATTTTTAGAATACTTTTTTGAAAAACATCCAAATTATAGATATGTGAGGAACATGCAGCTCCCCATGCTAATATACCATATGTGAGATGAGGCTCAATCAGTGCATGGTATAATGTTCGAAGATATTTTTCTGTCAATATATTCCCAAGGTATTTAATATTGTAGGATGCAAATCTAACTTTCTTTAAAATATAATTGACATGGATGTCCCATCGTAAGTGAGGATCCAAGACCACTCCAAGGTATTTTATGTTGGGCACTCT